GGGAGCCCCGGATCTGCCGCTGGAACCAGGACTGGGGCTCCCCGTTGTAGGAGATCTCCAAGGCAGAGGCACCGTTCCTGATCTCTGGCAGGTCGGACATGGTGTCCCGCACGGTGATGGTGCGGAAGGGGCCGGAATACGTCCTGGGAGGAAGGAGGGAGCCGTGAGCGGCCGAAACCTCGCCCTCGTCAGCCCCGGCATGGCTCTGAAGGCTCACCGGGTGATATTGCTAACGAACTTCTTGTCGTCCACCACGACACTCAGCTGACAGGCACGGGGCGCGAACACGTGCAAAGGCTCGGGGAACATGGGCAGCTTCTCGCCGGGAGCTGCGGCAAGGACGATGGCTCTCCTTCGCGTCTGGGCCACGCCGTACTGGCCAGCCCGGGAAGGAAGGGACAACTCCTGAAGGCGCTGGAGCTTCCCCATCCAGTCTGTGCCCTCGAAGAGCTGGGAACGTCCCCCAAGCCACCGAGGGAAGCCAAGTAGCAACGCAGCCAACGGCTCGTTTGGTGGGGACGGTTCACGGCAGAGCCAGGTGAGAGGAGGGTTTTCACCCCAGTTAACCATCTCGGGGTCACCCAACACCCTACCTGTAGGACCCCGAAGGTGCACTGGTAACCCATGCGGACAAGGCAGCGGAGGGTGAGCTTCAGCACCATGGAACGCTTGAAGGACACAAAGTTCCTGACGTTCTCCAGAAGGAAGAACCGCGGTCTGTAGTAGTCACAGTAGCTGCGAGGAGGGAGAGGGACACGCAGGCAAGGACAGAACAACATTTGAGGTGGGAGCCCGCGCCCGCACCCCAACACAGCTCCTCGCCACCTCCTCTGCTCACCTGAGGAAGGAGACCACCAGGGAGTTCTTGAACTTGGAGTAGGTGCGGGAGTTGAAGCGGTTCATGCCGCTGAAGCCCTGGCACGGGGGACCACCACACAGCATCTCCACATCCCCCTTCTGCGGCAGCTTCTGCCCCCGCGAGCTGGTCTTCTCGCCGGACATGACCAGCTTCAG